ACCTGGAAGTGAAAGTCGGGTTGTGGGGGAAAACTCTGTGGCGCGTTTCAACAGGTGTTTTGTGACAGTTTTTCGCTGTTTATCTTCGCTACAGATTTGTGGGGGAAATCGACAGCTGTTATGCGGTTTTCCACTTAAGTGATAAAACGTCGTAAGTGCTGTTGATTTCACCCACATATCCGTGGCGGAGATCGACAGCAAAAACGCGGTTTCGTACTTAGCAAAAATGCTGTTGTGTGGCACCACACTCAGTGGGGACAATCTCGGATTTTTTGTCGGCGCCATTGTGTGGCGCCAAACTCTGTGAGGCGAATCAGCGTAGCCTTGATTGGCTCAAGCCAATTGGACTGCGTTAAACAAAAAGGAACTAAGCCACACCAGCTATATTGCCAAATTTAATTGGGCAATTAAATTTTTCACATGAAAACGGTGTTGTCACATTGCCGTGTCCATCGATGAGATATTCACTGCGGACTTACTTTCGGAGTTAATTCGGTGGTGTTTCTCCAACATATTTGGAATATAAAAACCTGTCGCACAAAAGTTAAAGTGATTTACACAGAGTTTTCTTCTTTTAACATCATAAATCCAAAAATTATCTTTTGATCAACAGATTAGCAACTGGATTAAAACTTAAAAAGAGCCATCACATCAATTTCTTAAAGAATCTAAATCCTAATTAATTCTAAAAAAATAATTAGGAGTGATTTTGAGCTTGACTAGGCTTATTGGTTTTCTTCTGTCAAAAATTCAAAGTCGAGCAAAAATATTTTGAATTTGAAAATGGCGTTTACTTTTACAGCTAAAATTAAGTCTCATGGAGTAATAACAATCCAGTCCTTTTTTTGGTTTGATCTTACTGCACTTTAGTTCCTTTCTACTAAACTCGATAAAACTGTTATTCCAGCAGATGGTGTTTTAGAATCACCCTCGCGCTGACTGTTCAGTTCACGACGCAACCTCGCAATATGTTTTTGCACGTTATAACCGTGATTTTTTACAAAACTAGACTTTAATATCATAGTAAACTTATTCAAAGAATAAAAAATTGAATTGATGAAAAAATACAAAAAGAATGCATGTGAAACTTTTGGCCTTATTATTTTTCCCCTCTCTAGATAATTTATTTACTGAAAATCTGTAATTGCATCTACGCTCGGTAAGAAGCGATGATAGTAAATTGCTGCTCTATAGCAAATTGATATTTCCATATACGCATATTTTTATGGACCTCTTTTTGTTTATCGATTAATTCGGTTAGATTTGAATATAACATGTTTTTAAAGATTCATTTCACGCAAACATGAAACATCTGAGGCTTGTATCTATGAAACTAAAATAATCTGATGTCTCTCTGTTGTAAGCTTGTAAAAATTGGTATTAAAGCACTGAAAAAAGAGGTGATTTTTGAAACTTACAACTCGTCGGAAGTTTGGCGTATGTGAAAGGATTCATTTAAACGCATAAATTGACAATTTGTCATTTATTTTTAACACTTGATAAATTTTCGTTTAACAACATTAGAGTACTACAGCTTCAACTATGTACATTGAGAAGAAATTATTTTATTCATTGGCCGTGCACATATAATAAACGGAAACTTTACTGTAACAGATTTTGATTGGTACTAAACTCTTTGACCACCTCATAATGCCACCCAGTCAGGAAATAAACCTGCATTCCTAGCTTTCAAATTCCCAAAAACACGAAATTCGCACCTTTCAAACACTTAAAATGGATTAGATAAAACACTGACTTGGATTTTCTACGACGAGTTTCAGCGCACAGGATTGACATGAAGTATCAGAGTAGTAATTCAACTAAAAAACTTTGAGGTAAGTATACTAATAATATTTCAATTTAAAAGCAGTTGAAATCTTTGATCCATATCAAAGATAACTATAATCAGAGGACTTTTACAAAGAAATGGACGTCTTAAAAATTTTGAGGTAAATATACTAATATTTCAATTTAAAATTTATATTCTATTTAAAATGATACGTTTTTTCTAAACGCTTTGTTGACCTGCACGACATAACTCTTTTTTTAAAGCGATGGCAAGTCATTTTTCCTCAAATATTGTTTCCTACTACAAATTCTCCGAATAATTTACACATAATCGTTTTTTGTCCCACTGCAGTTAGTCCTGAGAGTGGTATTTGCCATTGACTTTATCCCTACAGGCATTAGTCCTAATTTAATTTGTAAACAACATAACATACCTCACAAGTTCAATATATTGGTTAAAATTATAGAGTTGTCTCCCAGATACCAATCTAAGTAGTGAAGTTTGGTCGACATCTTTTTTCTCTGTTCTTCTCATGTTTCAGTCTCAATTACCATTAGGCAAATTACCCTTAGAAAAAAAGCCAATATGACGTCTCATTCATAACACTTACTGTAAATGGAAAAAAATAGTAGAAAGAAGTATTTGGGAAACTTTTAGTAGGAAAATAATTAGGAAAAATTACCTTGCACCTTTCAGAGCAGCCCTCGCTTTAAGTATGTTAACTTAAGAACCACCCAGTCCATAAGAACAGCTATCTCATGTCTCCGTAATTGAGGGGCTCCAAGGACAAGGCACATACGTGCAGTTTTAGAAAAAATTGAGATATTATTGATTACAAGTAAAAATAGTCCAATTCCAATTTTTAAGCATCAAAAAGTCAATTTGAACTTTCTTTCCGCCATACGGGTCCATGTGATTTCGAAACTCCAAACGCGTAAGTATGTTAACTTAAGAACCACCCAGTCCATAAGAACAGCTATCTCATGTCTCCGTAATTGAGGGGCTCCAAGGACAAGGCACATACGTGCAGTTTTAGAAAAAATTGAGATATTATGGATTACAAGTAAAAATAGTCAAATTCCAATTTTTAAGCATCAAAAAGTCAATTTGAACTTTCTTTCCGCCATACGGGTCCATGTGATTTCGAAACTCCAAACGCGTATTTATCGAAATGACAAAAACTATACGCCTTGTCCTCCTAGCCCCTCAACTGATACCTCCGTTAAATAATTTTGTGCACCGATCACTCGAGAACAACCTTTCCGCGATGAACATACATCATATGAGGGGCTTGGAGGACAAGGCGCATAAGTGCAGTTTTATCTATTTCGAGATATACGTGCTTGAAGTTTCGAAATTACATAGATCCTTATGGCGGAAAGAAAGTTCAAACTGACTTTTGATGTTTAAAAATTGAAATTTGGAAGCGCATTTTTCACAGAGTTTTTTTTAAGACTAGATTCAGTTGATATCATTACTATTTCGATTTTTTCAAATGTTTCGTCTTGAATTTGCTTGGACAATGGTTACACGAAAAAGGGTCGACTGCCAATATGCACGCGAGCACATGCTTCTTTAAATGCTCATTCGCTTTGAATTAGCCTCAGAACCGACCACATTGAAAAAGTCGATCACTCACGTGAGCCGTGAAAATGCATCACGTGTAGTTTCCATCCATTCTTTGTTTTTTTTTTTCTTGCACACTAACGACGCTGAAAGGACCGATTTTTGTCGTGGACATGCAAATTATGCTCTTTGACTGAAAACATTGATTTATGTTTTCTTGCGCAATAAATACATCAAAAAGGTCAGTCAATGTGGAGATCCTCACATGCATCTGAAATAATGTATTTGATTTTTACCCAAAACATGTCAATTATGGGAGTGAACATGTATGACATGATGCCACAAAACTTCCTTTCTTTTTTATTTTCTCGAGCACTGATCGCATGACTAGGGTCGATTGTCGCTGTGGACAAACATGTGTGTCTCAAGAGTAGCCTTCCGTTTATATTTTCGTGAGCATTAACAGCATGAATAGGTTCGATCATCGCAGTGAACTCGAGTGACATGTTGCTTTAATGAACGCTTCGTTTTATAATTTCCTGAGCATTGACCGCATGAGTAGGGTCGACCATCGCAGTGATATCGAGCGACATGTTCCTTCAATGAACCCTCCGTTTTAAAATTTCTTGAGCAGTGACCGCAAGAGAAGGGTCGATCGTCGCTGTGGACAAACATGTGTTTCTTAAGATCATCCTTCCGTTTAAATTTTCGTGAGCATTGACAGCATGAATAGGGTCGATCATCGCCGTGAACGTGAGTGACATGTTGCCTTAATGAACTCTTCGTTTTATAATTTCCTGAGCATTGACCGCATGAGTAGGGTCGACCATCGCAGTGAACTCGAGTGACATGTACCTTCAATGAACCCTCCGTTTTAAAATTCCTTGAGCAGTGACCGCAAGAGAGGGGTCGATCGTCGCTGTGGACAAACATGTGTTTCTTAAGATCAGCCTTCCGTTTAAATTTTCGTGAGCATTGACAGCATGAATAGGTTCGATCATCGCAGTGAACGTGAGTGACATGTTGCTTTAATGAACTCTTCGTTTTATAATTTCCTGAGCATTGACCGCATGAGTAGGGTCGACCATCGCAGTGAACTCGAGTGACATGTTCCTTCAATGAACCCTCCGTTTTAAAATTTCTTGAGCATTGACCGCAAGAAAAGGGTGGATCTTCGCTGTGGACAAACATGTGTGTCTCAAGAGTAGCCTTCCGTTTATAATTTCTTGAGCATTGACCGCAAGAGAAGGGTCGATCGTCGCTGTGGACAAACATGTGTTTCTTAAGAACATCCTTCCGTTTAAATTTTCGTGAGCATTGACAGCATGAATAGGGTCGATCATCGCAGTGAACCTGGGTGACATGTTTCTTCAATGAATACTTCGCTTTAAAATTTCCTAAGCATTGACGGCATGAATAGGGTCGATCATCGCAGTGAACGTGAGTGACATGTTCCTTTAATGAACCCTTCGTTTTAAACTTTGCTGAGCATTGACCACATAAATGGGGCCGATCGTCGCTGTGAACACACAACATGTGGTCCTTAAGATTGCTCTTCATTTTAAATTTTTGTGAGCATTCACCGCATGAGTAGGGTCGATCGGCGCTGTGAACAATCGCCAGGTGTGTCTTTAAGCGAGTCTTCGATTTAAATGAACTAACACAATGATCACACGAAAACGGTTGATCATCGCAGTGAACGTGAGTGACATGTTCCTTTAATGAACCCTTCGTTTTAAAATTTCCTGAGCATTGACGGCATGAGTAGGGTCGATCAGCGCTGTGGACAGTCACTACGTGTGACTGTAAGTGACCCTTCGTTTTAAATTTTCCTGAGCACTGATTGCATGAGTAGGGTCGATTGATGCTGACGACACATCCCACATGCGACTTTAAATCACCTTTGGATTTAAATTTTCCTGCGCAATGACTACACGAAAAAGGGCTATCATCGCATTGAACCTGATTTAAATGTTTCCTTAATGCATTTTTAGTTTTAAACTTTTTAGAGCATTTACCGCAAGAGAAGGGTCGATCGTCGCTATGGACAAACAACAAATGTTTCTTGAGATTATCCTTCTGTTTAAATTTTCTTGAGCACTGACCGCATGCGTAGGGTTGATCGATGCTTTGGACGTGCACCACTTGTGACCGTAACTGAGCCTTCGATTTAAATTCCTTAACACATTGATCAAACGAGGAAATTCGATTGCTGATTTCAATTTCCGTTTTGTGCCTTTCAGATATAGCTCTTGATTTCAATCCACCAAACAAATTATCGTTTGAGGAAGGTCGATTTTTTGAGAGAGATTGATACTCGGTTTGAAGCTCCACAATGTCCGTTGAGTTTGAGCCTCTCGCGAAAGCTTGATCACCGTTGTAAGCATGGTCAGAGGCAGTTTTTGAACTTAAAAATTTCTTGCGGGAACCAAAATGATCTTCTACTTGAACGGAATTTGCAGAGATATGGTGAGGCAGGTTTTCATCTTTGTTTGAAACAATCTTTCCTCGGGATTTTGATTCGGAGAAATGTTGAGATTTGTGTCCAGGCGACTTTTGATGATTCACGGGCAGGTTGTAAATCTCTGGATTGTCTTTGACCTCATCGTGATGACACGCATGACATGAACCGAAATCCATCTGTAACAGAACATTACAATAATTGTCTTGTAAATATCTATTTTTGAGAATATTATGAACTTTGCCGACAAACAAAGTTAAAATCCTATATTACTTAAATTTCTTTGTTTGATATTTCAGCATTTTCATATTTAAAATATTTACTCCTAACTTTAAGTTTGGAAAATCTACGGATAAATTAAGCCCTTAATTACTGGTTACTCATTTATTTGTCCAAATGTGGCTTGGTTCCTATCCATGAAATTCGGACCGAACTGATCCCAGTGGAGCAAGTTTGAATTGAAGGAATCAGACGTTATGCGGAAACTTTATTGAAAGCACGCAAAACGTTTCTTCGTCACTTTGAAACGTAGGTACACTGAAAAAAATGTACCTATGCACTCACGCTACCTAAAGTATGAGTCGGAGCCACTCACACTACATTTACACACGCAGAACTCAATTTAAACTAGGAGCCTTTACGTTTTTGAAAAGAACGCGGAAAAATGAATAAAAAATTTTCATTGAAACTTTTTCTAAGTTGCCAAATTTTCGAGAAAAATTGTTCCAAGGAGCCAAAATTTGATAAATTGCTACGCCTGGTTCAAGAAAGTGGGGTACAACTTTCATATTGACATACATAACAGCTCTTAACCATATATACAACATTTCAAAAAAGTATAGGTGTACCCGGATTCCCACGATGTGAAAATTGACCGAGATGTCGTGTTTAGCGGTCTTTCTTTAATTGAAACTAGCTCTTTTGAATGATTTTCGACCTTAGTCAACCTCCGTGGGTGCCTATGCGTACTGTATATATTTCTCTACGCAATTTTCATTTCTGGCCGCAAAAATGGCTTCCTATCGATTTTAAAAGGCCTAACGGTCCAATGCTGCCAATTTTTACCAATTTTAGGCGTTTTTTCAAGTTTACAAGTGTAAAACTTAATTTATTCTAAAAATTGTGTACATTTTCGGAAAACTTGTAAAAAAATACATGCATGGTGTGCTTCATAACTTTTCCCTACATTGTCAAATTTCCGAGAAAGATCATCCTGAAGTGCCAAAAATGCGAAAAATTGGATTTATGATCACGTCGACCTCTCATGTCCAACCTCTCCTAATAGCTTGATCCACTTCGTGGACGGAAGAGAGACCCATCTGATTGTCCAGTGAGAGCTGATCATATACAATCAATATTTATACAAGACTCATTTCACTGTATTGATGGATAACTGTCACGTGATATTGTACCTCAGTTTTCACCTGGAGAAACGCGTTCAGAAATTGCGATGAGGGTTTAGCTTCTGATGGATTTGAGCGGCTGCCTGCTAGATGCAGGTCAAATCTCTCCAGGACGACAACTGGATTTAGCCGATCATGAAAGTCGCCATAGCTCGTCTCCCGGTGAATACCTGAAACAGCGATAAAAAACCATATTAGGGGTACAGAAAGTTCTCCAGAGTACGTTTTCACCAGCGGCCCATCATAAAAAATCATCATAAAAATGATCATTAAAATTGATAGACAAAACGATGGACAAGAAAGACATAGGGAGAATGGAAGGATCTTACAGGAATTGAAGCAGACGGTTTCCATAGTCTCTCGTGGGTTGCCGTTCGTTAGTCTTTTATTACCTACCTCCATTATCCACTCTGTAGGTGCAAAGCACCCTCAGAGTTTTCAGTTTGAAAATTTCTTCTAATAATTGGACGTATTTAAATCAAAAGGAACTATATCCATAATAATATAAGCCCTTTCGATCCGTAAGAATACATGAAAGGCAGGGCTCATGTCACAATGGACTCAGTTCTTTTTGATTTAAATACGTCCAATTTTCATCGCTCACACCGCGAATTCGAATTATTGCAGACTGTGAAAGTTGCTCGCCCTCGCACACCACTTAAAGCGCCTTCAACATCGTAGAAATACTTCAAACGCTACACTGATACATGCATACACTGAAAAAAATGAGTTAGCGTCAGATGACTAAAAATGGTTTCTATACACTAACTCATATTGTGTGATTTGGACACACATGATTTTTGGTTTCTGTACACTAACCACTATTAGTGCTGGAAACTAATTCCGCTACTCTAATTCGCATTCGGTAGGGTTGGGTCAACCTAACCTCAAAACTGAGAGAGGAGAAAACGGCTTAGCGAATGATAACTGGACAATACTTTCAGGAAAAGAAGATTTCTTAAAAGATGAGAGGTAAAAATCAACTGACCGGTTCCAAATGAACGACAGAGGAAAGGAATATCCCATAGGTATGTGCAAGTAGACAGAATTATCCTTTAGAGAGACACACACTCACACATGAAACGGTAGCGAATGTTCACACTGAATAAACATATCTCGTCCGAACACTTGAGATATTCTTTTGAAATTACGGGAGAACACGAACTATAGAAGTAAGCAGTAAGTTCACAGATTTTCGTAAAATATAAACTGAACGCGGAACGCTTTAATCGCAATTTAATACAGAAGATTGACGACTCCAACGAATATCATGCTTGTTTACGTTTTGAATCGAACAGACGATTTCTAACCTTAACAGGTTTATTTATGTTGCTTTCGAACGTTTTCAAGAAAGAGAGGACACTATAAATCATACCGGGAGTATTTACATTGTCAAACGAGCCCGAAATTTCACATTTTAATTGATTTTCACGAGCTGACGCGATTGAGGCTGTTGTACCGACGCCACTTTTTCGAAACTAAATAAATGTAACGGACAATGTGGCAGTTAGTGTTGAGGGCGAATTAGTTTGACCCGAAGGTGAATTTGTCTTACCACAGCGCTAATTTTACAGCTAGTGCTGTTTTCCAATTCTGGTTCGCGCTCTAGTAAAGTCAAGTCAGCGTATGAAGCGAATTGATTGGTGCTTCAGTACAATAAATTAGTTCTGAAGCCTAATTTTGATTCTACTTGGCGAGAACCAACCAAATTAGTTCTCAACGCTAACTACTTTTTTTTCAGTGTAGTCCTGATGTGTAAATTGCCTACTTTGCGCCTGCTGAAGTGTTTTGAGGTGTATGCACCACAGTCCACTCACAATCCACGGATCGGACGATCGAGCACATTCTGTAGGCCTAGGAGAGAGATCAACAACTAGTTAATCACAATTTTTGCACCTGCTCTCCTAATCCAAGGAGAGCTAAGTGAAAACTTAAGGTTGGTCGTTAGACCGTTCAGTATTTATTTTGGAGACAGCTGTAATGAGGATCACGAAGAAAAACAGGCGAGGGAAGGTTCCAAGCTTTAGTATATAAATATAAAAAAAAACTTTTTTATAAAAATGTTACCCTTTTTTCCAGTTTTCATGAAGTAAACTCAAAGTTTTTAGCACAGCGGAGATACGTGTCTCGACTCGAGTCGAAATTGATTACTGGCTTATCCATAAAAGCACCTATCTACGTAGGGAAATTAATGGTACAAACCTTTCTAAAATGAGCGAGAAATAGCATTTTCTTATTGCAAAGTGCAGTCCAATCGTCTATTTTTTGTTTTTGATGGAATGCGCCACTTGATGTCCTCAAGATCAGTGGGTCAGAATTTGAAGCCATCATTTGGAAAAAAGTAATAAGTATGGGAGGGAGAACAACGCTTCTACTTGTATAAAAATTTCCCATGGTAGGGGGCCCTAGATAATGAATATCAATATTGTAGAAACATTTTTAAAGGCTATGAATAATGGAATAAATATCTAAACTAAAATTAACTAAAAATCAATTATATTTTTAGAGCGATAAATTAAATAATTGAGTTTGATCGTTATATGATCCTGGACGTGTTTGAAATAAACCGTATCTGCAGTTGACAGCAGGAGCTATTTTTGTTGGTTATGGATCATTATTTATTTGTATAGCCAAGAGGTTGAAGTAATTAATTATATTATGCTATTTTTTTTCATGGAACATTGAGATTGAAGGAGGTGCCGATAATTCGTGAAGTCTATATTCCAGTCTAATGACGCGCACATTTCTCGGAATTCCAAGAGCACCAAGTTTAATAGCACCATTGCACCCCGAAATCTTTTTTGTGGCAGTTACATCATTTGCAGAAAAATGTGTTCGATGTCCTCTACAATTTTGGAAATTATCTCCTTCTTACCCTCTGAGTCTCCTTCGAAGTCGTCTAAGATAAGCTCCTCTGACAGCTTGATTTCTGATTTGAAATTCACCAACCCGAATGTCATTATCCCATCAGAAGATTCGATATTTGGCTCCGGCTTCGAGACCAATTGAAGGACAACATTAGCGTTTGAGCGCCCTGAAAATCGTACCAAAAATGTGTTTAACATTGGTTAATACGCAAGTTCCTGGAAAGGTACAGTGTAATATTATTATACAGGGTGGTCCAAACCTTATCTACCAGGCTTTTTGCTCGGTTATTTTAGGTCGAACAAATTGCAGCATTTTTTCGATAATCGGCCCGCAGCACAGGTTGCCAAGCACGAAGGTACTAAGAAATGTATCTTCTTTATTCAATCTTTCTCTCCTTCAACCCTCGTGCAAGACCCCCCCCCCCCTTTGCTGTCCCGAGTAGCATACAGCAACTAAAATATCTACTTACTTTTGAAAAATAATGCTATAACATGAATACAACCATTATTACCACCATTTCCCCCAAAAATTTAAGTATTCTAATTTTATGTTACATATTGTGCAGTTTCTTATATTTCTAGCATCGATATGAGTTACTCTCATAATGTGACAAAATTTTGATGCCGGTTGTTTTTCATACTTTTCTTCTTAACGTCTACTTACACACAGGATGGCCGATGGCTCCGACCAGTGGCATGGCGTGCTTTGCGATGAATCGATTGATCTGCCATTTGAAGCTATAGAAAAGTATCGATGAACAGGGTATTTGCAACGAACACCTCGATAGTCGATTCTTTACAACAGATTAAAATAGGGAAATATCGATAATCGATCATTTACGGCTCGCCACTGGCCCAGCCGGTTTTTTAACCTAAATCAATTCTAAGAATTCCAAAAGCAGGCCAAGTACGTCTGAAATACGACTGATCCCTTAAGATGGGGACAGAGACTCCCTCTGAAAAATATAAGCCGCGAAATTTATGTAGAGACTCGGAAGAAAGATGTTTTTATGGATAATCGACCCCAAGTAATCCGAATTTAAAGCCCCATCACCATAGCCCCCAGAGGCTTCTTGATAGGGTAACGGGGGAAAGGGGGAGAGCTACGGCCCTGAAGTCAAGTTACAAGTTAAGATTAAGTATCTGATTTTTTTTGTGCCATGAAAGTGCGCCAATTACCTGAGGGAATAATTCAAAAGCTTTAATTAGTCATTTATTGATTTACATACTCATTTGAAAAAAGTGTTCAAGTTCGCCTTTGTCAATCATTGGGCAAAATCCTTTCCATAACTCTGAATTTTTTCCCCTGTAGGTACGCCGGAATACCTAGCGTTTTCCACAGACATAAAGTTGATTGCATTTTGCATTAAGCAACCAAGGGCATTCCAATGTCGCAAAGATTGTGCAACTTTTTTCCCTTGCGAGTATAGACAGGTCATGGAAACAAATTTTATCCAAACTCTTAATAAACAATAAATTCAAGACGAGAATTAATTTTGTAAATTTAATTTGTTGCGTGATTTTAGTAATTTTACTGCAACAAATGTAAGTTGCACAATCCTATAGCAACATTGGAAAATTGCTTTTTTGCAAAATGTAATCTAAATGGACCACTAAACCGTGGGTACTCTTTTATTTGAATCGGTTTCTATTAGACGGGCGCAAATCCAAAAACTCATAATCCCTGGTTTTCATGGAGCACGCAGCTTGCTAGGACTCATGAGTTTTTGGACTAACACTCGCCTGACAGAAATCGATTTAATGTTCTGAAATTACTAGGCATATAGATTGTATGGTTACTTCGTCCCGTTTTTTGGAGCTGAAATTGTGGATCGTCAGTGAATATCTATAGTAAAATCTGAATACATCAAGCTCGTGCGATTTTTAATTGCTTCATACCTGCAAGTTGAGTTTTGTCGTCCTCTGCTTCCTCTGTCTTGATCTTCAACAGTAATGACGAAGTGACAAATTTGTGTTCATCAGAGTTAGATTCTTCTGGACCGTCCACTTTGACGTGCGGTTTTGCAAGTGGCAATATCGGCCTCTGATGCATATTATCTAAATGATACGAATCATCACCAGTTGTTTTGACATCAACATTTACTAGATTCACAATTGGCTGCAGCTTATCATTTTCCTTTTTATTGCGGAAGTTGGTCCTCTGCCAAAGATCTGGAACATCATTCAAATGAGTTATTTTTAAACAAGATGCATTGAAGATTACCTAAGGGTAAACATTTTTGGTCCACTGTTGATCGTACATAATTTTGATAAAATGCAAAGTGGGACCGGTGAAGACGGCGAAAGTAATGAAAAAGGACTTTTGATAAGAGTATGTATAGCTGGGCCTTCAACTTCTTACTTATGACAGATTTACTTCTGAAGGGTAAAATACATAATTTTAAGTAACATGAATTATACACGGAATTCTGCACACAAAAAAAATTAATTGACTTCACTCCATACATACAAATATGATAAACTTTAAGAAGAATTAAAAATAATCCATCTAATTTTCGAATTAAGTACGGAGGTTTTTGGCGCGTATACGTAGTATACCGCCTTTGCGATCGTTTCGACCCCCCCCCCCCCACAATAACCGAGTCCCCTAGTTCCTTACCGAAAAGTGACTACCGCGAACTTCTGAGATTTTCCAAAGCGTGTAAAAAGTTTACTAATCCGTCAATAATAATGATTAAAATTTGTTTCTCATTCTGGGGCTCGCTAGTTTATGTGTAATGAATACCAAGAGTCTACGTTTCTTGGTTTTTTTTAAAAAAACCTTAGAATGGGGCGCGCTGATTTAAAATATGCATATATAAGCGGAAGCAAGCGAACTGATTCGAGGATGGCTGACCAGTTCGGCACTCCTTGAATGAGAATTTCACTCACTCCGTTTTGTTCACAACGTTGCTTTGACATATTCAATTTTAAAAACATCTTAATATAACAAAATAAGATTTATAAATATGTTACTCTACCAGGCCAGGTCGCTCATTAAAGCATGAACAAAAATTCAAAGTAAAAACCTCAAGTAGAAAGGAATAAGAAAGCTTGACTATACCTGCTTTACAATCATCATCTTCTGTAAAATCGCCGAAAATGAGCTCACTTTTCAGCTGCGATCCGGGTCGTGTGTCCATTTTTAAAGTCACTTATATCATTATAACTTCAATGAGTCATCCGAGGTAATGTCCAATCCCATGTAATTTAGCAATCTGTTACACCTTGAAGAAATAGAAATTTCCGTCACTATACAGTGATAACGTATCAGCTTACTTAACCGTAGCAAGCTAACTTAAATCGGTGTTCTTTTAGGTTCTCGAGTCTTTTTCAACAAATTGATTACCATGAAAAATTCACAAAAGTCAAAAATCCGCGCAAATACTGATTTTTCAGCACATCTAAGAGCCCTGCTTGCGGTCCGATACAATAGAGCAATGAGTCCATCCTAAAAATGTTCGATTTTCTCGCGACAAAACATTCCACACCATAAAAACGAACGAGCACCATTTATATTTTTAAAGTGACTGTGGAAATTCAATTTAAAATAATGAGACATGCAAGTTTCTTTGTAATAGAGCAGTATGTAGGATGGCTGTATGCAAAATCTGGAGCTGGATTACGGAATTAGGACGGTAAAACGGGTCTGTTCTCTATCGTGAGCTTTTGCTTGGAGGTATCACAATCTCATCAAATCTAAGAGGTAGGAAATTCACTGATTGACGCAATCCTGTAGATGGGAATCGGAAGTCACAGTAGATTCACCACGACGATACCATCCTTCATAGTAACGTGTCACACAAGCGAAGCGACTGGGCACAATAACTGACTAAATCCATTATGCTTTCAGACTCAGGCGAGTATTTGCTACGTCTGCAGATCAGATTTCTCACACCGTCGTCAACGATGTGCTACCCTTTGCAGTTTGACACGTTGATTTGAGCTCAGGCTACGATTAATTTAAGGCCGAAGATGCATTAAGGTTGCATGAGCAGAGCTGTTCATAATATTTTCTGAGTAATTGACAAAACAAAAAGCACATCGACGGTGAAACTACCAAACCACGTATCTCGGTTTGCGACGTCGCAGACTTCCTGTCATACTTTATTTTTTAAATGAAAAACTATTTAACGTCCAGCCTTGAAAATTTCTGTGATTTTTCCTCTTCGCGCGGAGAAAATTCTGTGAAAATTTCAAGGAATGATATTGATTTGGTCTACTTCCAAAAAATAAAATGTGAGCGTAGATTTTTAAACACCGCAAACGAGATACGTGGTTTGGTAGTTTCACCGTCGACATGTAATGCCCACGCAGGTCACAAAATTATTGTAGATTTATTAAACAACCGCATATAACATTAGGAAACATCCAAAGATCCAGCGCCAGATTTAGGGAGGTAGGTGTTCCGGGGTGAGCCAGTAGTGAGGGCCCTCCAGTCCTCCACCCTCCACAAGCACAAGCGGAACTAATTTTTTTAAGGGAGCCAGGCCCCCGCTAGAAATGATACACAACTGTGAATCCACCAACAGAGCAATGGAAGGGAAGGAATGCCTCCAGCACGGAGAAGGCCTGCCCCGGGAATTTTTTGGAATCGACTCAATTTTAGATTCGTTTTAAGGCCGCTGTGACGCATTTTGTGGAATTAGTGCGCCTTAAGGTGATTCGATGGACGTCATTTTTTGTGTCAGAACGGCATGCAATGTAGCGCATCAATCGGTTCCATTTTTTCAGCTACTCGTAATTTTTCTCCAAATTTGAGATCGCAATTCTGTTGTCAGGAGATTAAAGCACTCACTTACCAATTTTAACAAAGAAATTCAACGTAATAAAGGCGTGGTTTTTTTTAGAGAGAAAATATCGCATTCGAGTGCAGTTTCCATATCAGTATCGACTGCGATGTTTTCTCTCTGAAAAAACCACGCCTTTATTACGTCGAATTTCTTTGTCAAAATTGGTAAGTGAGTGCTTTAGTCTCCTGACAACAGAATTGCGATCTCAAATTTGGAGAAAAATGACGAGTAGCTGAAAAAATGGAACCAATTGATGTGATATATCGCAAGCCATTCTGACACGAAATATGGCGTCCATCGAATCACCCTAAGACCGAATTTTATCCTAGGTTTTTGCATGAAACTTGTGTTTAATAAGAAAAACACTGATCTGCAGTATCCTCCGAGACATAATTTTATTCTGTCTCATTTTTTTCTATTCTTTAAGAAAAAACTAGAAATTAACTCTTTGGATATTTGTTCAAACTAAGCAATCACCAACAATACAGAGGCAACATAGAGTCAATTTATTCCCACGATTACGAAAGAAAACAGCGTTAAACAGAGCTCTATTTCTGGATCGTATGTGTGAGCCATCCGAGTTTTGAATATTTGAGTCTGAGTCTAATTTGTTGGAGAGGAATTTTGGAATGAATAAAATTTTTAAAAAAAAAATTGCATCGATTTTCGAAAAATCCAAAATGTTCATTCAGCGTGAATCAAGTACCTAAAGCTGCCAAGGCATAAGTTAAGGGTTAACTATAGGCAAGTAAGTTGCCAATGCGTCACAAGTTGAGACAAAAATTCGTCTGCGTATTATCTACTGCTGCCATGTAAATAATAGTATCAAAAATTCCACATGAATTAATATTTAATGACACCGTTCACACAGACTTGAGAGACGATTTATCCTTTTTTCCTCTTTTTCATCAATTGTTAATTCAGTTTTTTTCTTATGAATAGGGAGCGCTTCTGCGCAAGGCCTCTTGCATTAGCAAAAACTGCAAATATGTTGATTATCTAAACTGAACTACATATATTTTTCCTAATTTGCTATTATTTTAAGCAAAACTCAACATTTTTCCTCAGATATCTCTCAGTACTGCTCCTACTGACGACCGAGCACAGCGTTTATAGAGATAAGAATCTTTTTTAAGAAAAAATATGATTTACATTAAACACGCGCTCGGCAACTGGTTTCCAGTTATGCACATTTTCTAAGAGACCGCAAGTTTTCAAACCGTTTTTCTTCGCGTGATTGTTGATTTCTAGGATATCCTACAAGAATACGCAGAAAAGTTTCAGGAATTGCAAAGACTAGCAGGAAAGGACTGAATATTTAAATTTTTGCGGGTAAGACTCATCGAGAATATCATCATAAACTAGTTCGATACAGTTATGTTCATTCCCTATACGTGAAGTTTAAAGTGTGAATGGCGAATACTCTTCCCAAAATCAGTACGCATATTCTACAACACGAGATCCTGAGGGGAGCATCATCAGATTTAAATTTTAGAATGAAGGGTAAAATTTGTTGGGAGAAAGTAAAATTTCGAGGCGAAGAGAGTCCGGGGACCTCTCGGAAAAATTTTTCAATAGAATTCCTCCCAGACCAAATTTTTGGTAGTTATTTCAACTTAAGATTTGTAAACAATTGAGTGTTAAAAAATTTACGAATAAAACATCTTTCACTGTATGCCTTTTCAAGTATAATGGTCATCTGTATCTTGGGTGTAGAGTACAGAGATAAAATACTCGTATCACAAAGAAGGAAAGCCAGAGCGCTACTCTAAACTATATTTTGATCACTATCCAAAAACTGAATGAAAACCCAGCTTGGTATTAGACTATAGTCTGAAATCCATTTTGGCTTACTTAATTTCAGACAGATTACTTTTACACCTCCGCCTTCCTACCCTCATTTATGTCTCTTCTTTTGTTTCGGTCTGAAGGGAGTAATAACATAACTATATCTAAAATATAGTTTTTTCACTCCAGCGAGAATTTTCGAACTTTTCATCGAAGCACTCTTCTCCTGCGTAAAGTTTTGATTCAAAGACTAAATGGTCTTTGATTCAGACATTTTTACGGATTGATATATATTATCGTCGGCGAAACTACCGGACCACATATCTCGGTTTGCGACGTTGTAGACATGCTATCATACTTTATTTCTTAGAGTGAGAAGCAAACAACGTCAATTCTTGAAAACTTCCGTGATTTTTCATTTTCGTGAAGAGAAAATTCTGTGAAAATTTCAAGGAATAATATTGCTCCGGTCTCCTTCAAAAAAATGAAATGTCAGCGGAGACTTTTTAACACTGCAAACGAGATACGCAGTCTGCGGGCCGATTATTGAAATTATAGACAAAGCTATAGACAAAGATGACAAAAGGGATATGGAGGGAACGTATTGGTGGAAGCTGGTGGTTGCAATGGACAAAGGCGGTAGGTGATAGACTAACTAACGGCAACCCACGAGAAACCCAACAGCTAGTCCATCATTTTCTCCCTTAGTCTTTAAGAACCACACATTTCAACCAATAGGATCGCTCCATACCCCCTATGTCTTCTTTGTCCATAGCTTTGTCTATCAATTTCAATAATCAGTCCGCTGGAAGTTTCACCGTCGATATGTAACATTCGTACTATTTTCAAACGGACCGGAGGAGAACCTGATTTCATAAAATTAATGGCTCGATTCATTTCTCAGGTCAAACTCCTTTCGTTGCCGCCTTGAAATGGATGATGCACCCACCCCTTCAGCCGAAAGGATCAGGGAGGACGTGCAGCACCTGAAGGATTGGATATCAAAGGAACCACACCTGCCAAACATCAAGGACGAAAAATGGCTCCAGACCTACCTCCACACCAACAAATACAGTCTCGAAAAAACGAAGCGCAAACTCGAAAATCTATACACGTTGCGGACGAGATTTCCTCACATTTTGAAAAAACGGGACCCTACAGATCCGGAAGTACTGCAGGGCAAGAAAGGGATAGTGACATTCGTTTCAGACAAGGTACGGTGAAATTTTCGTTTCTTTCGATTTCTACTAGCAGATTTTCTCCAAAACGAATCCCCGAGTTCATAAGGGAGTCGGAGTCGCCCACTCCATTTTGGTCGTATTTCTGCCAAACGGAACTATGTGCATTAAGACATGAGCCCTGAGACCCATACAAATACATGCATAACAGGGCTCACACCATAATGCACATAGTTCCGTTCGACAGAAATACGTTCTTCTGAGAGTCCGCCTCGGTATTCAGTCAACCTCTCCATGGATACATTGAGTTCAAATACATCAGCTAAGTTGCCAGGGTTCTAGCCTTTGATTCCCAAATAAAATGGAAGCCCTGCCAATGTGTTTACTCCCTATCTGCATAAAAAGTTTGACTGGATGTAGAGGATGACTCTCACTATAACATCGGCTATCCCTGATATTACGAGCTCAACTTCGAGAGCTTTTTCTGAGCTTGGGAGTTCGTTTGGAGAAATTTTGTGTTCCCATCTTATTTTTCGTGAATAGTCACGTAAATCGCAAATGCTAAATGGCACGTGTGTTGTTTCTAAAATGAGTCAGAAATTTTAGTTTTTTATCACGAAATGTATTTTAAATAACCCGCAAATCAATGCAGGTGACAAAAACCGGCGGTACGATGTACTACGTCAAATTTGGAGATCCATCTCTCCTGAACGTGGTCGATTTCACGAAGCGTGTGTTCATGATAGCGGACGCGTTGCATCTGGAGCACCCTAACCTCAATTATTTCGAGGCCTTCGTGGACTGCGACGGACTGCAGGCCCAGCATATCCTCAAGTTGTCTCTCGGAGCGGGTCTGATGGCGGAGATATTCCACAAAGCGTACTCGGAGAGGGTCCGGGCTATCCACCTCATCAACGCTCCCTCGTCGATGCACCTGGTCGTCGATATGCTCAGGAGGTACTTTCCGGAGAAAATTGGCGAACGGATCCAGGCGCACAGGCAAAGTTGCGTCAGTTTTGGGGAGGAGGTTGATACGGACGTCTTATGCTGCGATTTCGGGGGCAAAGGGAGCAGCTTCACACAACTTGAAGGTAAGTTTTTTTCTTGGAAAAGTTTTCAATGAACACTCAAGATTAGGTTATATTTAAAACCTGGGGGACACAGTGTAAAATGCGAAAATTCTAAGGAGTTTATTTCGACCAGTTATTCACTCGAATTGCATTTATGGGAATACAAACTCAAAATCGCCCCTCCTTTTTTTCGGCAAGGGTTAAGCGGTCGGTCAACTTTCGATGTATTCCCGATGGACGAAACAGCGAAGAATTGAGATCAGTGGCACGGCGTGCTTTGCGATATATCGATTGATCTGCCATTTAAACCTACGGAAAAAGATCGATATTCAGGACGTTCGCAGAGAACACCTTAGTAATCGATTCTTCACCATACCTTCAAATGGGGAAATATCGATAATCGATCGTTCATGCCACGCCGCTGGTGGTGAGGCATTAAAAGTACACAATATACTGCCGTGCTGAGGACAGACGCCGTATGAGCCTTCAGGCGTTGCCAGATTTCCCTTGGTAAACCAAAAATTTTTGGGGAAATTTGGAAGAAAATCTCTCCTAATTTTTTGATGATTTTGTTCGCGATTTCACCTGAAAGTCCTGAACATTTCAATAACAAATATTCCCAGCTTTCCCCAAAAATAAACATTTTATCGAAGGAAATTTGGCAACTCTTGAATGTTCTCACGGCGTTTTTCCTCAGAACGGCAGTACAGAGGGTTGTCTTTTATTCACGGTCGGACTGCAGGCGCAAAGTAGGCAATTTGCACAGCAGGACGAATACGTGCAACAGTGAAGCGTTTGAAGTATTTCTACGATGTTGAAGGCGCTTCATAAAGTGGTGCGCGCGGGCGGGCCTTTCATCGTCTGTAATAATTCGAATTGGCGGCGGAGCGAATTAAACTTGGACGTATTTAAATCAAAAGGCACTATATCTATTGTGGCATGAGCCCTGTCGTGCGTGTATTCTTATTGATCTCAGGGCTCATGTCGGAATGGATATAGCTCCTTTTGATTTAAATACGTCCAAATATTATTAGAAGTGCGTTATTTTTACTGAAAACTCCATTCCCCCTATTCCTCCTTCATTTATCAAATTAGATAATCAACCCGCTGTCTTCCAATAGTTATGGAGTTTGAAAAAAAATATCTGTGGTGGGGAAAAAATTAGATAACTGTGTGATGGTTGGTTTAATATGACATATTTTTAGGCATTTGCTGTTCCAAGATGTTTGTAGAGCAGTAGAGCACCCTTCATGATCTAGTGGCAGCAATTCAATTTTAAGTATTTGTTGTTGAGTGCAGTCGGAGAAAGGTCGACGGAAATAAAAAAATGTCGATTGATATGTCGAAAATAATATCGATTTTCAGTTTTCGATGCAAAACGCCTTCAAGTACACCAAAGAAAAGTTGGTCATTTTATACCATGATTGGCTAATACAATTATAGGCGCTCAAAATGAACCGTTTCAAAAGCTGGCAACAACGACGGCAAAATTCAACCGTATTTTCTTAAATTTGATTTTCATCGTTCTCTAACCTCTAAATAGTCTTAAAGGGTCAACTTTTGAAACACTCAGGTTTCTTTTCGCTAAATGGTGCAAAATTCCTTGTCCAAGCCATGATAAGATTATCTCATCTAATTTTTGACTTTCCTTAGGAATCTTTTTGTCTGTATCCATCAAATGTATCATTCTTTTTTTTTTCTTTTTTCTTTTTTATCTCTGACTCAGACATTTATTTTCGGAGATTTAAAAGGCGCTAAGCATATTAATTAAACATCATTTGTAAGGTTTCAGGACATTTTGTCAACGATTTTTTGTCCGCGCACCTTTTTTGTCCAGTAGTTTACGCCCACACGTAAAATAAGCACCAGTGACTTGGTCCAAGCGTTATATTTTAGTCGGTATGTAAAATTATATTGACAATATGGAAATGAGAAATTGAGAGAGAAGGAGGTGTTGTTATGGTTGCTCATTTTCTAAATGAAATGTTATTACTTTCTCCTTTTGAATCATCTTTCTAAATTGTCATTGGTGAATATTTGGTTTTATTTCTATCCTTAAAATACTCTATGTACAATATACCGTACATATGTATAGGTACTTTTTTTTATTTTTTTCATTTTTTCTTTACGAAATTATTACTTCATTTTGAAAACATTTATATTTTCAAAACGTGACAAATATTTGTAAAACCTTTTCCAAGCGACATTAATCTCAATGAGCCGTAGTTGTGCCGACAGAAACTGCAAAAATGAATAAAAGAGGGGAAAAAAACCAAGAAGCTTGCAATCTTTTTGCAAGAGCCTTTAGCTGAGGCAAATATAAAGGTTCATCCAGTTCAGGTATAACAAGGTGGGAATTTTTTGAAAGATAATTAAGTCCTGTTACACCAAAGAGGTGTAGACAGTTTTAGTGAATTTTGTCTCATGGAATTGACGCTCCCCAATTTTCACCAAAACTCTCAACTAAGTATTATTCTCCGTCGGACCAAACAGACAAAACAAAAAACAAGCAAACCCTCATTCTTCCAAGATATCATATATTTTCATCCAAAAACGTCATGAGCAATTGTAGTTTGTATTTACATGTGGGCAAATTAACTTTGGGCCTCTACTGGCACGTGGACCAAAACTCCCGTGCCGAAAAAACGCTTGGACGTAAATTACTGGAAGAAACAGGTGCGCGGACAAAAAATCGTTGACGAAATGTCCTATAACCATTTGTAAAACAAAGGAAAAATATAAAAAGAATAAACGGTTCTGTTTGCAAAGAGAGGATAGACAGAGGCAACCTTAGACAGACTCTTCATGTGCATGAGCAAATGATCGGAGCGCGTTTTGGTAAAACTATTTCCACTCTACGATCGTCCGTGCTGGATACTCAAAGAAGAAGAGACGCTATGGTTTTATTTGCACATCGTCACCTTCTGACTAAAGTATCACAAGCGCCATGCGACGTGTAATAATTTCCGCCGCCATTTCATTTTTTTACAGAGAAATTGTCGGTTGAATTTTTTGACTGAATTTTATCAGCAGCACAAAGAAAATTCAGTGAAATTTTCGGACAGCTTCATTGAACAATTTCTCTATAAAAAATATAAAATGACGGTGGAAATTTGTAAACGTCGCATGGCACTTGCAATACTTTGGCCGGAAAGTGACGAAATACTCTCTGGATTGTTTCACTGCAAGAGGAGCGCCTTGCGAACGCAAAGATACAACTATTCCTACTTGACGAGTGCCCATATTGCATACTTGAAGAAGTGAAGGCGCTTTAGCTTTCCTCACTCTGACTCTCAACGAATTGTTTCCATTGCCCTTCAAAGGCAAATCGCAAGCGGGATGTCCTTTTAACGCATGTCTTTTGTATTTCCGTAACCACCTGTACTTTTCACGACTCAATCGAGATTATGCTGTGTTAAAAGACACCCCAGTTAATGATAATTAAAATTTGAACTTTATAGAGAGGTAAAAAAGTGTCGATGATACTTGTTAATATTTCGAGAACGGTTACAGCCAAAGACAGGCACATTCATTTCAATCTCCTTACATAAAAAAGAGAACATTTTTTGAGGGGGAGAGGGTGGGGCGAGGGACAGCATTTGAATTTTAAAAGAGAGCCTCACTCGATTTTCCCCCTGTTATTCTGATCCTTAATTTGAAATGTGTTCCAGAATACACACAGAATTTGCTTGAAAAACATAGGGAGTGGTTTATTCAACAAGACGATTTATGCGCCGACGAGTCCCTGCGGAGGAAAATCGATGACCAGGACGAAGAATTGCGAGGCTCCTTCCGAAAACTTGAGGTAGATTAGTGGCAACAGTGCGCATTAATGCATCCAGAAAGTCGCAGTATGAAAACCGAGGAGAAATTCGGTGCCGGAGTCCATATGGCGCCCAGAAATCCCAAGAGATATGAGTAATAAGTGGAATTAGTGCCATGAAAGCGTATGTCACTTTGCAAAAAGAGTAGATTCTGCTTCGTAATACTCTAAGTCAATCCAACTGACGTGTGCACATACTGGGGGGGGGGGGGGGGGAGGATAGATTCCGCTCCGCATTCATATGGACTGCATTTTGCAATTTGGAACTATAAAAGCTGGCTCTTCTGGAAAAACACGTATGTGCATAGGGAAACTAATGGCACATACGTAGTTTTTAAACCGGGCTATAATTTATAGTTCCAAATTGCAAAATGTAGTCCATATAACACTCGGAATTTTCGGGCGCTCTATCGTCACCTCCCGGCCAAAGTATCAAAAGCGTCATGCGACGTTTCAAAATTTCCGCCGCCAGTTTATTTTTTTACAGAGAAATTGTTAAACGAAGCTGTCCTAAAATTTCACTAAATTTTCTTTGTGCTGCCAATGAAATTCAGTGAAATTTTCAAACAAATTCAACCAAAAATATATCTTCAAAAAAGTAAAATGGCGGCGGAAATTTTGAAATGTAGCATGACGGTTGTGCTTGGCCGGAGGGTGACGATATGACTCCGGCACAGGATTCCACTCCAAAATGTTTAATAGTGTGGGAAAATTGCTTTTTCTTCATTAAAACCTGTAGAAATCAGTCGATTCTTGGCATGGCCAGGTACTCCGATATAAATCGATTATTTAACCCAGGTTTCAATGGAAGAAAAGTAGCCAGCATGCAGTGTGAACTTAGGATTGTTGCCAACTAGCTAAACCCGCCTCTGATAGTGCGTTTAGTTTCTGTTATTCTACAAACTGTGATTTTTCAAACTCTATGGGGATAAGTATTGAAATATTTTCAATCATCTTAAAAGTGAAAATAAGAATGAATGAAGAAATAAAAAGTTACTGTAAAAGTATTTGGTTATGTTATTCTACTTGTAGTCGACCATAACACGTTTAAAATTTTATCATCTCCTTTTCCTTCCATATTTTACGGAGAAATTAATAATTCTCGCTTAAACCTCGAGCTGAAATGGGAAAAAAAGAAAAAATAATGAGCAGTTAGAATATATGATGATCATAAAAAGTAATTTTTCTCCCCTAAAATTATACAAACTGTTAACGATATTTGATTCTTTCTCAAGAGAAAGGGAAATCAAAGAATGGGATGAAAAATATATTGATGGATCTACACCCGCACTTGATGATAAAGTCACGGATAATTCTGTATATTTCGAAATAAGAAGGTTTAAAGAAGCCTCTGAGAGAGTATTAAATTTTATTTTTGTCGTTCTTGCTTTGATTTTTTTTTTCATTCCTTTCACTTTTTACATATTTTTCTCTCTTTTTTATCTTCATTATTTATCTCGTCCCTACAAGTTCTAGCTAAATCCAACAAGTTCCTCAATTGAGAACGCATCAGTCGTGAGTGCCTGAACTATTTTCTCAAATTCTAAATACGGCATGAAAATACACCCTCCCCCCATGCCGCCCCACGCTAATACACACACAGATGGAACAAACATGATGAGACTCCCTTGAGCTCCAGTAGGTACTGCATGAGCATTAAAAGGAGGGCTGACATTTTGTGATCCTCAACTCGTGACCTATTCGCTGAACTACAACCAAAATGGAATCGGTAAGATTGAAGCCCCTACTGCCTCTTGTCCTGTAGTTAACCTGTCTAAGTATTTCGTTTCAGCCGCGCATTTAATAACGACCCCCGCGCCCTTTGGGACAGCACGGGACTTATTTCCGAACGCCACCTGTGCATTTTAAAAATATTCCAACCTATACCTCAGAAAAGTCATGATACAGGGTGATTCAGTGCTGAGTTTGGATAATCCAGGAGTTGATTATTTGAACTAAAATAGGACTTATATCGCCACCTTCCGGCCGAAGTATCGCAAGCGTCATGCGACGTTTATAATTACAATACGACAAAAATTTCCGCCGCCATTTTATATTTTAAAGTGGTATTTGTCTGTCAAATGTTTTGAACATATGTCGGAATTTTATCAGCAGCACAAAGAAATTTCAGTAAAATTCTCGGACAGCTTCGTTGAACAATTTCTCTGTAAAAAAGTAAAACGACTGCGGAAATTTTCGAACGTCGCACGGTGCTTGTGATACTTTGGCCGGAAAGTGACGATAAGAAGAGAAATA